GGTTGTCCCCCTGCTGAAAAAGAAAAGACAAAGAACAATTCAACGGAATCCCTGTGATTACAAGGGGCACACACACACACACACTCTGAGGAAGTTACAGGTATAATCCAATGAGCCTCGTCCGAAATGGTTTGCCGTTCAATCTTTGGGCAACATCAAGCAAACTGTTGTGTGCAGTATTGCACTACAAAGTTACAATCAAACACACAAAGTTGGCAGCATTAGCAGCACTTCCCAGCTTCAAACCATGATAGCTAGCACCAAGACCTGAGCCAAGTGCCAAGGAACAGTGCAGGGTTTGACCCGTCATAAGCCATGCCCTTCTTGCTGAGCTGAAAGTATGGCACCTTGGTACCATCCAAAGAAGTGGCAAAAAATTGCTGCACTTCAATATCATCGGCGTTGAAGAACGCGGGCAATGACTTCAACGGTGTCATCGATGGCAACTTTCCTGGGCACAAACTGCATCCACAACCAATGGCACTTCACATCTATTCGGCTTGTAGCTTAAGCACGCAGTATGTTGTTTCGACCAGGGATTCATAGGGGTCCACCATTCACTTGGGACGACAGTTGCAAATCACTTGCGACGACAATGATCACCACTTTTTTGCCAATCACTTGCGATGAAAACCAGCATCACCATCATGACGGACGGGGTGGGTGGTTTGGGGCATGCTAACGTTCAAAACCACTCAAGATCTTCATCACCATCAGCATGGGTGCCTGAACATAGGTTTCAACAGGGGGGCCGGGGTTAATGGGGGAGGGGACAGTGTCCTCGAAAAACACAAACCATGTTCTTGGCCTATGCGGCGCACCGCTAGTGAAACCATTGTATTGTGTGTCTTGTTCAAGCAATTGAACAACACTTGAAGTACCCTTGAACCGAAGAAATAGACGAGCAAATTAGCGTCACAAGCAACGAGCAAATTAGCTAAACAAGCCAACGCCTCACCACTCATAGGCAGTTGTTACTGCATACAATATAGGCATAAAGAGTGCTGCAGCTCTTCAAGTGATGGCACGGCCGATCGTTGTTTGTGAACTTCATTGTGTTGCTCAAACAAGAAACATATTTTAAACAACACACACACACAAACAACACATGTTTGTCTAAATTTTGGTTTAAGCAGGTAACAGCAGGTACGAGTAGATCTGTCTCGATCCAGAATCCAGAACCTAGAGAGTGGTTTCACTCTCAACATGTTCCCCTCTTCGGAAGGCCTACCATGCCTTTACCATATTATACCAAGTGAAACCTCGTATACTTCCAACAGCCAGCAACTGTCTCCAGTCGACCCGGTCCAAGAGTCCGTTGCAAAGCTCATCTGCAGTCATCAGGAACAAGGTGGATGGCCTTCAGAGTCGCGGCCGCCGGGGATTCGCCCAACATCGGTACATATCGGTACACTGCGACCCAACAGCCATGGCCGTTCTAGCTTGGTGGAATGAGCGTTAGACGCAAAGCTGGGTACCCAAGCAGTGTACAGGGCCGTGTGACGAATCAGCCGTGGTCGGAACGCTTCGCGACAGACGCTTGGACGATCATGTATCGGTCACCGGACTGCAAAACCTGTGACCGTCCAATTCCCTGTCAGCCCGGCACGAGGGGAGGAAGATGCTTCTGTTCAGACCTGATTCCGGTGGTAGACAGGGTGACACAAAGAGAAAGGTTACGAAGAAGGACAAGTCAACAAAGACGGTGATTTGGATGAGTCCATTATATATATTATAAAGGAATATGTTGATATACTGAGTATATATACTACCTGCAAAAGGCAAGGGGCAGGAGTCTACAGCCTACAGCTTTCCTTCGAGCGCCCGCCAAAGTATATGACCAAGGAGCTCCAGTTGCAAAAATAGAGCAGGGGAGTGAGAGAGAGAGAGAGAGTACGCAGGCATTTCCCGTTAATGGTGCGCTAGCTAGTGACTCCCGCTGTTTCTTCATGTCATGTCCCAAATGCTTATTATGTCAAGATATATATCTTCTAAGAAAACACTCGCAAAACCAGAGACAACCCACAGCGTCAACCACTCTCGTCAGATTCCTCTATGAATGCATCTGCTGAAGATCTTGGCGTGATGCAACCTTTTTGGGTGAACATTGTTTTACCTTAAGCTAAACAGGGTCAGCTCTGGGTAGGTCTTCTTGAAGCAGAACTTATTGACCCTCTCAAAGCCTTCCAACCTCCACATTTGACGGATGTTCAAGGCCAAACATTCAGGCTCGCTTTCTAGGGTATTTTCATCCATTTCATCCATTTCATTCCATTTCTAAAAAAGTACAGTGTGTGGTCAAACCTTCTACCAATCCTCTCTCATCCTTTTTCCAAGCCGCCCACCTGCCCACCTGCCCATCAATCCCGACCGCCTGGTGTACCCGAAGACGGTGACCCAAAGCTCGTCCGAGACATCCGGCTCCACGGCGGAGATGGAGACGCTCTCCATGCCCAACGACGTGTCGATGCCACGATTCAGCCAGCGGCCCTCCTACGACGCCGGCGCTTCCGGTGGTTGACCGGCTCTTTGTGTTGGTGCTGTGGCAGTTGCCATGTCAATGGTGCCTACGCAAGCAGATTATACATGTCATCGCGCTTTCTGATCCTTCTATGCTCCTGCTGGAGAATTGCCATAGGCGCTGTAGAGGTGGTCAGGTGCTCTTGCAAAATTCCGCACCACTTAATTAAGAACATTCCAGTTTCCTAAGAAACACCGTTTGGGAGACCGGACCGCCGATTTTGACCGGCTGCGCGCACGAGGGTCAGTTTTCGAACACCTTCGGTTCATCCCGGTTACTAGGCATATTTATGTCGCATGTCCTTCCATGAAACAAATCTGACGGAATCAGCCTGACGTCCAAAGAACAAAAACCAACCAAAGACCAAAGCCTGCATTGCAACATGAGACTTCCTCCTGATCAGCAACAAGTCGCATCCATGGACACGTAAGCCTATAGTACCAACGAATCGACGACAAGCCTTGAACTCCCAGAAGACCAACTTAGTCTTCCTAGGGGTCCGCGTGTGGGTCTCTTACGCGCGGTTCGCATCCCTTACTATTAGAAGGAACTGAGCCGACGCCTAAACCAAAACCAGTAACATAATGAAACAAGCCCTGTCCAGGCCAAAGCAGGTTGAACTTGGAGGGCTTTGTGGCATCGATCCCCTCAAGGTTCCAAAACCTTGCTGTTATCAGGAGGGCCTGTTCTTTTCTCTCGGAGTACCTGTACTTATACATATACTGTCACTGTATATATATATATATGTATGAATATGTATGCATATACCGGCATATACCTATACAAAAACAACTCATAATACGCATATCATACGTCATACCGTGTGCAATTTATCTCATGTCTGTCCGATCTTTCTGAGAGCCAGGATTTGCACATGCTGGATCGGCAAAAAATCATGAACCAAATTTGCAATGAATGAAGTATTTATCATAACATGGTCCCTTAAACCTTACATCTAAGCCTAAGCAATTGTATATGATGGTATATGCATGGCGAAGTGTATGTGGTAGTTATGCATAGTTATGCTATTCATTGTTCTCCATTCGCCAACCTGGACCAAACACCAGCAAAAAGACCATCCAACAAAAAGGGCCCGATCCGACACTCCCTGAGGGATGCGAAAAGGATGAACGAAAACCACGAAGGGGATTCTTTGATCTCTGTGGATATATTATATAGGCGGGGGGGTCTTGACAGTGATTTTACCCTGACCCCTGTGATTTTATAGAGGATATATCCACCATGATATTCTTTGCAAAGCCAAGAGTTCACATCTTCTAAAATACTGAGCACCAGGAAGTTCTTTGTCCCGGCATAGTCTTCCAACGACTCCTGAGGCAACCGACATGGCCTTGTAAAGACAAATTGCTTTGCCTAGGAACCTGCCCAGCGTGTAGTATCTAAACATGCTTAAACACAGATTTCACATGATTTCACATGAAACTTCACAGAAAGCATAATCAATGTTTGCCTGCATGCTCAGGTGCTTGGGGAAAAAGCAACAACACCGTTGAAACTTCCATGTCCTCTTCGAACGACAAGGCTCCGAAGCTGAGGGTGCAAATAAGACCTCCAAGTCCTTCAGGTCATTGGCGAAGAAGCGATCCATGTTGATCGACAGCAAGGACCTCACTTCGCTGTTGGGTGGCCGTTTTCCCCCAACTCTGTTGGGACAACGACGCTGCTTATTCAAGGGGGCTGCAAAGACTGCAGCTTTCCGTGGTCTGACTGGTGGCGATATACACGATTCACGAAAGGCTTTTCTTCGGGGCATATCTGAGACTCAGCCGCGCAAAACCTTGCGTGGCAATGGCGGACAGGAATGCAATGATCCATCTGCCACCTGGACGCTCCAACGTAGCTACAGTAGATCGTAATGATGCATGGCTTTGTGGATGCTCAAATCGCTTGTTCCAAGGTACAAAAATGTACAACATATGATGAACCTTGAAGTACTGTTCATCCTGTTGCAGTATGACTTGAAAATATAACTCACCAACGGGATGAACCTTGCGAGTATGGGTGCTCCAAAGTGTGCAGCCGATCAAAGTCAGTCACCCTCTTAGCACCCATCACTGCAGCCCAGGCGGCCCTTGAGTTGCTAGCAGTTCATCCTTGACATACCTCAAATGTGTGAGTGGTGAAGACTCGAGACCAGCGAATTGAAAGACCATAGCACGCGTTTTTCTGGAAGTTTTGGACCCTTCAGTTGGACAAACACGTTCTCAGGAACAAGGACGCTACTAGGGGCTCCTGGCCTTACGCTTCTAGGAGCAAAAAGCTGTTAGTAACATTGTATTGGGTGAATTAAACTTAATTAAACTAAATTAATCTGCAATGAATGCTTCCATTTACCCCCTCGTAAGCTTGCTGGTCTTGGGCCTTCTTCGCATATGAAGTTGTGCCTTCAAGGAGGTCATCAGTTGGCCCTCCGTTTCTCTCCCACGACTGGTCAGCTGTCATACTTCTTCCCCATCGAGGAGCTTGTATTAGTTAGTCTAGTGCCTAGGGAATGGGAGCATGAAAGGGGCCTGAAAGGAGTCGAGCGTTCAACGAGCAGTCAGGTTCTTGGTCCATTCTCGTCCTCACTTCTCTATTGCAGCCTCCAAGCATTTACTGCAAAAGGTGCCAGTCCAACTCCATGCTACCAGCTTGTCCATCGATCCTTCACCGATCCCCCTCCTTCCTTCGGCCGAAGCGGCCAATCACTTCGGAGTCGAAACAAAAAGCAATCCCCGAAGGTCGAAACGGTCCTCGGAACCGCACCCGGGGGGTGTAAAAGGTCGCTTCGATGTACATGGTGAGACCAGGTGGGGGGGGGGCGTGTAAAACGACACCAGTGCGAAATATGGCTAAGAGTAAGCATTATTTAGCAACATATAAGTTCAGGTGAATGTGGGTATGGTAGTGAGATGGCGCCGCAAGGGGTACAACTATGCCCAGGCTTCCAGGTTGTATTTACAGTAGCCATTTTTCTTTTGCCATGGCGGGTTTGGGAAGCTGCAGCTTCTTGACTCACTGCCATATCCACGGAACGTGCTTGCCCAAACCTTGACCTTTGATTATGCAAGGCTTTGCAGGGCACCACCCTTTCTTCTTGCAAATGCGATGTTCCCTTTTGTTTCTTCGGCCATCCCAACCCGCTGCTTGCTACTACCTTTCATTCACCCCCAAAGCAAGAGAGCACAGGCAACGACATTTTCAAGCTCAAGCTAACATGCAAGGGTCCAGCCTCATGTACAAAGTAGAAAAGGGCTCTTGTTGTCACTTGCTGTGGTATTATTTCCATGGAATCTGCTTTTGCATCAAACTCCTGCACTGAATGGACTTGGTCTGAGGAGAATCGGGACGGCATTCATCTTAGAGACGGACACAAGTAAAAGGTTCAACAGATATGAATACAGGACAATCTGACAGAAACGTGGGGGATTGCATTGGACTTTTCTTCCTACAAACCTGTATTGCATACATTCTGCTATATATTATATATATATATGTTTTCTTATGTATAGTAGACAGCCGTGCACTTGTGCATACGATGGTCACCTATCTCAGATCTCATTTTACAGCTTTTCAGAACTCACGATGCGGGGCCCGTGTGTGCCCAACAAAGTGCATCATCTCTTGGTGACTAGATGAGAGGTGTCTCCCGGGTCCAAGTTAGCATGGCCCAATGCTTTCAGACACAGGTTCATGTCATCAGGCACCTCCACTTTCTTCCACTGCCCGTCATGAAGCCTGAAGGCTGGAAAGGAGGAAACCTGAAGGAAACCTGAAGGCTGGAAAACCGACTCAGGAACCAAACTTTCGTGATGAGTATTTTGTGAAACTGTTGCTGGGGTCAGCGGGATAAATAGACTTTTGTAGACCCCGAGCCAAACGGACCTTGGATTTCTGCCACCTACAAAGTCAATGTATTTACTCGACCAAATGAGTCCATACCTTGACATTCTTTGACCAACGCCCATAGTCGGGCATGCTGGATATATATATATATATATATGTGAAGGTGCGGCTATGAGAAGGTTTCTGTTGTTGGACTGTTAGCCGACCAGTCACCAGTCTATCCTGAAATTTTGTATCCATCTCCACGTTTGCAATGTTTGTTCTTCTCGAACCCAGGGGAACCACAGCGCATGGATCCAACCAAACAGAAGTGAGCACTACAGCAAGCAATTAGAATAATTTAGGAATTTACAGCAGTACGTGGTGTGTGTGTGTGTGGCACCCCTGCTTCCCAGCCTCGATGACCCCCCTGAGCCCAGTCGCCACAAATACTCATGGGTGTAGAAGGTCACCGCACGGGTGCGGCTTTCGTGAAAGGTGCTACGGTCGAAGTAGAATGCGCCGTGGCTCAGGACATCCTTGTGGGTGCTGGCAAAGGTAGGACGATGGTCGGACGGTTTGGTTCAAACACGACCTCAGCTGCTGAGTATGGTGGGTGATCTGTGAACTCCGAGGTTGACCCAGAGTCCCATGAAGTCCTGGTTCGGTCTGAATGGGCCTGAACGAAAACAACGTGAGCAAGGTTCTGAGATCTCTCTAAGTTGCAAATCCACCTACAGTAAATATATCCACCCTGTGCATCTCAAAAACCCGGATGATGAACATCCAAACTTGACTGCTGACTGCTCACTCTGCTGCTGAATTGTTGTGACCTTCAGGGGCAAAGCACATGCCTCAAACAGGACAAGTATTTGATTTGGAAACTCTGTTAGGACCTAGGAGTCACCAGCCTCAGAGCTTCACAGGACACAAAATCCAGAATTTTCGACCAATGGCCCAAGTAAGCGAAGCGTCTCAAGTCCAAGTGGCCAAGTTAACTAGTACAACTCCTGGACGTCAAGATCAACGAACATGGACCATCTCAAGTTCTCAAGATCTGTGTTTTTCTACACTTTGGCAAAGGGGCATGTTCCATGCCGTTACGGAAGGACCAGTGGCGCACAATTTTATGGGAATCTTCCGGTGGGCCGCAGCCAACGGTTGAATTCTCTCCCTTGTGCCATGGGATGCCCTGGCACGAGGTGAAGCATCACTTTCCCAAACAGCTGCCCTTCTGCCAAGTATTTCAAACCTTGGACCTCTAAGAAGGGTTCTTCCCATTGTTCAGGCTTCCTGGTGTTTGCAAACAGCGCTTCCCTTTTCAAACCCCCTCCGACGCGAGGTGCCTCTTCCCGGCGCCTTTGCTGCAAAGCCTCCGTCTTCTGGCCTTGAAAGACCACCGGCGCATCGTTCAAGGAGCTGCCCCGCTTCCACTCCCTCACCGTGGACGGGTAGCCGGAGTCTGTCATGTCCTCCGAGGCGCCCGTGTCGGTCCTCGGGACGGACCAAGCGAGAGAACGACCGGACCGGACGGCCTCCGCATCATGTGAGACCAAGAACAAACACATGTTCTTTACTCAAAAAAGAACTTGAAACCGGAGGCTGTCCCTCTGTCCCTCACTCACCCGCAGATTGAGAAGTTGGAACACCACTGCTGAACATGACTTCAGGATGCTTGAGCCGAAACACAAACCATAGGTGCCGGTGTCAAACATGGAAACGGGGTAGACTCTTTAAAAGGTGGGTTCTTGACGTTCTTGACATTCCATGGCAAACGCTGGGTTCTTGGAAGAAGCTCTGACAAATCTGTGACACTCGTTCTCTGGACCCTTTCCTATTTGGGCTGCTACTAGACGTCATCAGTTCTATCCCGAGAATAAGTCGGACTTGGGAGACATTGCACTTCAGCACATAGCTTCGAGGAATTCGGAATTACCAGAATCCCCAGCTTGAGTGGGATGTTCGCGTGGCCAGGGCAACGATTCACTTGTGTTTTTCCAGATCTGTCGCCTGTGCATACCTGTGCCGTCATGTCCATGTCGAATGGTTACGTTGTTTCAGTGTCCGAGTGTAGCCCAACAGCCACAGAAAGAACTGGCATCCCAAGAGCCAATTTGGAAACTGCTTGAAACTGGTTGAAAATAAATTAAGGTCTGACATGTCCTGACCAATTGTCTCTCCAACGTGACAGGCCATCCATGATCGCCTATTTAACTACACCTCCTTTCATCCAACTTGTGCCATCGACCTTGGCAACATGCCTACGACTATGGAGCGAGCAGCCCGACAAGGAGCACGTCCCGAGATTTGAAGCACACCTGTAGCAGCGTAGCACTCGCGGTTCACTTGGGCGTCACATGAAGGCAAACAGAACCACCTGCAAACCCATGGAATTGTTGCGAGTCTAGCCTGCCAATGACCGCCCAGTCTGAACACCACTGAACTGGCCTAAGGCTAAGCAGCTAGTGACATGTATCAAGCATCTTGGATTGCTTCCAAGCCTCAAACCGCAGTCATAGTGAATCACCACTAAGCAGGTTCATTCACGATTTATTTCAATCGTTGCAAGTTGCAAGGGCTTCCGAAAAAGCCCTCAACATAACAGCAATGGGCAATAGGTTCTCGCCACTGCTTCCAAGTGCATTTACGTGGTTTAAACTGTTAGAGCTACGCCAGCGGCCCAATGGGCAGAATGGGTTGCAATGCGCCTCTCAGGGTTTCCTGTGCCCACCAAGCCTGCCTATAGCTTAAATGCAGCCTACATGCGGCAAAAACAATTGTCGGTAGCAACCGGAATCGTACTGTCCACACGCTCTTTTCACTG